CCCGAGAACATAAAATAATGTCTGATAACTTTTATCATTACGCGGAAGAAGAGAGAATGAACCTTTCCGGCGAATTCCTGTCGACATCCACATGTTTGAGCTTCGCGCAGAAAGGAAGCCGCGATTCCTCGCGAATCTCATCATTGCTATTGCATTTACTTCCGCGTTTATCTCTTCTTATAATATATATATATATATATATATATATATATATATAATATGATATATGAAAATATGAAAATAATAATACGAAAATAAATATAAATATTCTTTTAAATTATGTCAAATTAATTATATTAATGAGAATCGAGAAAGGAAACGTCGACGCCTTTTACTCTGCAATTGGCGTATTATTAACTCTTATCGAAAGATTTCATCAGGAGTTCAACAGAACGTTACAATTCATAGTACAGAATTTAAAATTATTATTATCCAATGGGAATTTCATAGAGTTTCGGATTATAAACAAGCATTATAGACACACAAAATAAAAATAATCTTGTATACGTATAATGTAATTTAAAAAAAAATAAATAACGATATCCACTAACGTTTAAAAAACAAGTTGCTTTAGTATAGATAAGTAATAATTTAGCGTACTTCATCTCAATCATGATTTATCGTATCTCAATCTCATCAATCTTATCATCCCTTCATATCAACCCTCGTTGTTGCAATTTAATTACGATAACGGAGCTCATGGGCGCCGCAACGATGTATCATAATGGAAAAAAAAAAACCTACGTGCTCGAATGCCCATCCTACGTGACGTATGTAACCCCCTTAAACGTACCCACAAGAGGACGTCGCGTTCAAAATTGCGGCGTGTCGCAATTAATAAACCAATTAAAAATAGGCAATGCGCACGGAAGCGGGAACACGTGCAGCGTGCGCATACTCGCAAACTAGCCGCGGCGAACCGATTCGCGGAGGCACAAATGTGCTTTTTACCTGAACGATCGGCACCTTCGCTAATGAATAATTAATAGTTTGACGTGGCGGCCGGTCAGCGATGCGAACGGCTCTATCCGCCCAGCGTAATAATCTGGATCGCGTGTCCGCAAGAATGCTAAAGTTCTTGCACTCGAGATCCCGGGACGAAGTTTTTTTCCTATTATTTCGCCGCTTACGGATACCGATCACTTTCACACTTTATCAATTTCTATTTTTGCGCTATAATGATAATTTTATGTGATCGTAATAAAAACATAAAATATAACTTTCTTCATATACATGTGTTTCATATAACTTTTCAAACTTGATATCGTGACATGTCTACATCATTAAAGCGATGATATAACGTAAGCAGTGAATCAATTGCTATTATATCCGACTTTCCGGCATTGCCTGTAATTTGGATGTCTATTAATTATTTTACCGATTCACAAACATTCATTTTCGTTGTGATTGTAACGTTGATACCAGGAGCCATAATGAAATGTCAAATTAAATCTATTAGATTTTTCTTTCTTGATTTATCCGTTTCTTTTATAATTTTTATTGTTAGGTTAACTGAACGGTAGAAGATGGATATATTATAGAGAAACATAGCGAATCTTGATTTGACTCTGCCAATTCTATTTCATGCTATTGTTGTCAACGGTGAAAGTCGCGAGAAGAGGGAAAGGCTTGTGAAAAAAATGGTTCTCTAATATGCACACTTTCTATACGATAAATTTAGATGCATCTTCGCCGTCCCGCCGGATGCGAAGATATTTACGCCGACATGTACGTTCCGCGAGATAGACGCGATTAATTGTCTCGGCCGATATATTCCGTATCTATAGACGATATTCAGGCCGGCCATTATCGAAACGTCGTGATCTGTGCCGCGGCGCATCGTCTTAGTTTCACTTAAATTGCTTTGCGCGTCGTTGCATTCCCGTGAGAGATACGCCATTGTCCGACACACGTGTACGAAATACAATTACATCAAGAATAAAAAATAAAATTTTAGTTTGGTTACGGTTAAAGTCCGATTAAACAAGTTAATAGATGTTCCGGCTTTGATTTCGATTTCTTGATTAAAGAAGAAAACCGGAACCGCTTAAACTACGGTACTCCTCGATTACAGTTATAGTTCTTCCAGCTCTCCTTTTTCTACCTTTTTATTTTTTTACTTTAACTACGTAAGATATACGATCTCTCTTTGCTCTGTTTATATAATACCTGTTAATATTGTTTTTAAACATAATTTTTCATTTTTCACTACATATTAATTTCTATGTTAATTATAAAATTTTTACGTACACTTAACTTGTTAGAAAATGGAGAGATTTGAGATCGATAATGTTATATTGTTATATTATTTACACAATACGCATAGAAAATCTTTGTTATGTAAAGCGGAAATGTGTTGTGCAATTTTCCTATAAAAGCAGGAATATAATTAAGAGATGGAAAAGATCGAGCGTAGTTACATTCTATTCATTTTCACCCACTTTGGTGCTTCCATTACGTAATTATGACGTTAAGGGAGCAAAGTCCAGAAAATTGCGAGATAGACAGACGTTTGCAGTGCAGTCCTGTGTGAACAGATAAGCGTGTTACGATAATATTAAATGCGTTATCATCAATCATATGAGAAGGATCTCACGGGAACAATTTAATGCTACTATCTTACTCCTTCACGTAATAAATCAGTTATATGAACATACGTCATTCGTTTGTCCTTTTGATAATATAATTAACCCTTATCATTTTCTCTCTTCTTTTATAATTTGAAATTATTTGCATATATTACTTTTATAATTAAGCATTTTAGATTATTATACAATTTCAATGTGTAAGTTAATGTGCAAGACAGGGGTTCAAGTTTTCAAGAGCATTTTGTATTCGAAATCAAACTGTATTGTTACCGTTACAACAATTTCTCTTCCTTTTTTTACAATTTTTATATTTTTCTCTCTGGATGTTGACGGATCTGCGAAATTCCGTATTTCCAGTACGGAATTTTACAAGCCGTCAACAACAGGTGCAAACGTTTACTTTCGCCAAACGTTTCCATAATATAATTCTATATGTTTTTTACTGCAGCCACTACATTATAGACAAGTTGAAAACACTCGCGATTGAAGGCAGTTAACAAAGATTAAACGACCATTAAAGTCATCAAGTATCTGTCTGATCTTTGAAACGAAACCGATTTTGCTTCTTTCGTCTCGGCAACAAAACTATCACCGAGTGATTGGGACAAGTACCTGACCGTAGTAGCTACTTCTGTCTATTCCTTGATTGGCTTTTCTACCAAGAGGTATCTCTCAGATTGGCGATCAATTTCGACACGCCGATCGCCAATGACGACGCGCTTGACCGTGTCGATGTCAATGAACCTTTTTATCTTCGATTGAAAGGCGTAAGGTGCCGTCGAGGCACGAGAAAAGGTGAGCAGAGACCAAGAGCCGAAGAGGTGAACAGAGCGCAATCGTAATTTCATACCCGTCACGTTCACGATTGGTCAAACCACTCGATACCGGCCTCGAGAATGTCAACCGCTCGAGTACCGTTCGCCTCGACGAAGTAACTGTGGAACTTGATGGATCTTTTTTACCCGGCAGTGGATCGCCGCACTGGCTCATCCACCCTTTCGCGAAAAGGAGAACGCTGAGATCACCTGACTAGTCGAGGGCAGGGTCACGGATACAGCCTCTCGATTATCTCGCGAAAATTCTTGCTCGCTCGGACGATAACGCTCGATATTTAAAGATATATGTTGAAGAACTTTTCCTAAGTCAATCTTATTAAGCAAATGTCTCATTTCGATTTTCGATTTAAAATTTCCGCTACGTAATATATCAATGTATGTAGGGTAAGTGTTCTCTTTAATTTTTCTTTTACGTACAATCTTTTTGGAGTGATGAAAAATAAAATTTATAAAATAAATATTATTTATTTTTAATTTTTATTTATTTTAATAACATTTATTTTTAAAAATAAATATTATTAAAATAAAGAAAATTAAGTAAACATTGATAAAGAATAAAATTTATTGTTAAATTTTGTTGTAAAAAATATGCAAACATTATTAAAATAATTATGTGCGAGAGAGAACATTCACATTATGCGAAAGTAATTTGTTGAGGAAATGAGACTATTTATGGTACGACAGGACAACCGGAAAAGGTGCAATAAATTTTCGTTATCCTGACACAAAGGGCTATTTCGCCCTATCTTCAGTATCGTGCGAATTTCACAGTTCCTTATGGAACGAGGAAATTTCTCCTTTAATAGGGCCGAGGTGCGAATCGACGATACCGTAAAGTACCTTTTCAGAGTACCGTTTGAGCGCGAAATTATTGCATCTGCGTCTCGATCAAGTGCACACGATCTTTCTCACGCGAGCATGGCAGGACTAATTATGCCCTAATGACGATATAATTATATATTTTTTACGCGGTAGAATGAGGAAGATTGTTGCAATTTAACATGGTTTTTTTATCCGCTGCAACAATCACTCGAGCAGCTCTTTGTCCAGCCCTTTTTTGCATGCCGACCCACCGACCTTAAGGTTTTTAAAAAGGCAATTCGGTCTTCTGCGAATAGCCGCCTTAATGCGATATTATGAAAGAGGTTCATCAACCTTTTATACAAGTATATTATATACCGCCAGTCCCTCGAGCATGACGAATATTTCTTATATGATCGTAGGTCTAATAATCTTCACTTCAGTGGTTTACCGTTTTAATATTCGCGTAAAGTACGAGTATGCATTATATTTGGGTTTATCGCCCTCCAATGTGAGATCTTCAATATAATTGAGCATAAAGTTTTATTTTCTGTAACGTCTTATTATTAAAAAGATTGAAAGTCTTAGCGTGAAATTTGATTAATAATTACGTTACGTATTAATTAATATCATATTTTTTTCTTCTTTTTAAAAAGAAGTAGAAGTACAATGTACAATATTTTATAACACACATTCTATTAGTTCTTTTTTCATTTTTTAGAAAATATTGATGGATCATACGGAAAAGTTGACATTAGCTTTCATTTACTTGCAGACGTACTGGCTATACAGAACGATAAAACATCCTCTCGAATGTCTCGGGAAAATATCGTGTTGAGTGCTAGCGCTTACACCGGTCCCGAAAAAACATCTAGTGGAAATCAACCGGACGAATCCTGGACTTTCCAAAGGACGGTTCCGGCGTTCCAGTTAGAAAGCTCAAGGAACGTTAACGAATATGACAGAGAAGAGACCAGAGTCGCGTTTAAAAATGCAAACCATGACGAATCTACTCTAGACGAACTAACATCATCAAAGCACGTGGCCCATATCGACGGTAATAATATCGAAGCAAAAGCCGGCGAGTACTATCAGTAAGTTCCATTTCTATGAATACGATATGATAAAAGGACGAATTGTACGCGAAGGACTTTAAATGTAAATAAGTTCTTTGATTGTATCGACAATAATGTAACTACAGGCTGCTACGAGCATTAAACGTTGATATTTATTAAAATTTTAATTCATCAGAGTTTTAATTACATTAATCTAATCTAAATCTAATGAAAATTACAATAATATACTGAATATTATGTTAATAATATAGGCGCTCATATAAATTTTATTCATTTTAATTCTAAATGCAGGAGAACAAATATTCTAAAATAATAATAAAATAATTGTCTCAAGAAGAATAGTGCCCACCACAAGCGAGTCGATGTCGGGGGAAGGACAAGGGGCTCCGCTGAGAGTAGATCTCCTGTCGGAGCCCCATCAGCTGGTTGGCGCGCTGAGGCAACGAGCACAGCATTCGCCAGTAGCGGATCATCAGCGGCGAGGTCGTCAAGAGATCCCGAGGATCTATAGCGAGCACGCGCCGCCGCCGATCCTGCAAACTGCCGCACCAGGTCATAGACAAGCGAATCCTGATATACAGGACATTATTACTGGCATCGTTAAATTGCTTAATGGCAACGTAAACGTAGCCGCAAACACCGTGAGGCCGTTGAGGCCAATACAAGCTGTTAGGTAAAAAAAAAAAATAAAAGATTTTAGTATATATACATTTTATATCTCAAAATGTTATGATAATGCAATCAGTTTATTTTGGCATTAAAATTGTTACAGTAACTTTGAAAAATATTATGCGACATATTTTTATTAACTTGTGTTATATTCATATGAAAAATATCGATTAAAAGAGGCTTTTATATATAAAAAAAATTTGGGCGTGATATTTTTTCTTGGCATCTATGTAAGAATGCGTTTATGACAATTGTTTGTTCATATATGTTTCATTATAATGATAATGACATTATTGATAATTGAATTTGCAGGATCAACAACAGAGGACCACCGAGAATATCGGATGTACCGCCGTTACTGTCGGATTTTGACACCCCTGGTATGAATCCACCACCGCCGCCGCCGCTGTCGTCGTCTCATCCTTATCCGTTTGAAAAGCCCCCTGCACCTGACAGACCATTGTTGCCACTGGAGAGACCCATTAGGCCCTTCATCAACGGGGTGCCATTACCAGAGCAAGTCGTGCCGCCTTGGAGTTGGAATTCTTCTCATAATCGTCATACATCCGTAAATAATTATTCATCTAATCATTTATTTTGCATGGATACTTTAACATAACGGAGCATATATATATATATATATATATATATATATATATGTGTGTGTATAGAGAGAGATGTATATATGTAGAGTAAGATTCTCTATCTTAATTTATAAAATAATTTTCATTTATTAAAATTATCCGGAAAATTATCCTGTTTTTTCAAGATGGTAACAGACGACCGACAGTACCTTATAAACCCTCGCTACCATCGCTGGATTCTTCTTTCCATCGTGATAAAACTCTCTCAACGACGGAGAACTCGCAGTATGAGCTAAAACCGGAATCTGAAATACCCCAGGAAAGCTCCACTATAAAGAAAGATCTAGCTAGTCATCAAGAAACACTTATTAAAGACTACGATACTAAGAATCGCACGAGCAATTCTAGTATCGCTAAAGATCGAGTAGAACACACAACGGCAACCGGTGATTCAGCACTTCAGAATACAACCAAGAAACCTGAACTTGAGGAGTCTACGAAGAAGCAACATATTATAATTCACAAGTATCATACACCCTCGAAAGAAAACAAGATCAACGGCGAGGAGACATTGATCCTTGGTCTCGCTACAGATTACGTCACTCCAACTCACACGATACGACATCCAGAGGCCTCGGTAACACCTTCGAACAGTCAAATCAAAGTTACAAAATCTTCGAAAAATGAAGAAAAAATATCTTTGACGTCCAAGGGAGAAAAACCGATCGAGAAACCTACCTCGACCGCCTCGAAGACGTTTTCAACTAGTACTTTGAATATCGAGACAAGTTCGTCGGTCCAAGTGATCGAGTCTATACCGACGAAAGTCATTCTTCGACCAAGCACGATTCCCATGAAATCAAGCATTGATATCAAACCCGATGTGACCTTGGAACCTAGCAGTGTATCCGACATCGAGTATACGGAACCAACATCCAGTGTCTCGACGCCAACTGATGGTCTTCCTACGAGTTATTCTAAGAGCTCGGTCACGATAGAGAAGAGCGTCATTCATCCTACGAGTTCAACTTTCATGAAAAATACAGGCACGTAAAAAATTACAGAGCCAATATGTATATAAATTGTATACAAATTGTGTATATATATATATATATATATATACAACAAATATACGCGTTATTACATGTTATTTTTCTTAATAATAATATGTAATAATTTTTGTATTAGTATTATATTTATATCATATGAATACTAATTTTAATCTATACCTCCAAATAACTTTGTAAAATAATTGTAACAGGATCCACTGAACGTTATCGTCCACGACCTGGAATTGTCTTGGATGATACTTTGGATTATACCGGAGCACAAGGACTGCCAAGTCAGAGGCCTTACGCTCCTTCGAGACATCCATCTCCCGGTGATGTTTTTGATGTGACAGTTTCGGCAATTCAAGGTCCTGGTGGAAGTTCCGGTATTTTTTTTCTCATTACTTAAATTATTCTCTGTTTTAAATAATTTATAGTTTAGGTTAAAATTTGTGATAAAATTCCAAATAATAAAATTTACAATATATATATACAATATATATTATGTATTGTGGAATACGGAAAGAATATTTGAAAAATCAGAAATGTTAACATATATTAAAATATATATGACAAATAAAATTTTATCCTAAAATCTCTAATAGAAATTATAAATAGTAATTTTATATTATTTTTAACAAATTGCAACATGTGCATATTGAATCATTTATTAATTAATTTTTCATCAATGTTTGTACAATAGAAATTTAATACTTTCTTGATATGTGTGAGTGTAAATATTTGCTTTATTATTGATATAAATAGAAATAAATTAGATTTTTTTCAATAGCTATATCTTGACGCTTGATTATTTATTGAAAATTTCAGGGGAAAGTATTAGAGTTTCTCTAAATTCAGGTGGCAACGATGTCATATTAACTTCTGCAGTGGGCGGTGAAGGTTTGTGAGTATCGATGGTAAAAGGACATATCTGAATTTGTTCGATAACACAGATCGGACACCAAGTTCGACCCATGTACAACCGCAACCAACTAGAACTCAACCGCCGCCCATCATCGGTACAGGGTAAGTTTTGAATTTCAATATCGTGAAATTAAGAGCTTTTTTAAGAATATGTTATCCATATGTTTATATTATATATATATATATATAAA